ATTACTGTGCTTTAACTGACGAGACGGTGCCTTGGGGACCTGGAGTAACAGATCTGGACTGTACTTGTATAGTGCCTTTAGTAGTCTTCCAACTACTCAAAGCGTTTTGCGTTACAAGTCAACATTCACCCATTCAGTGCAGTGCACTACACTTATGCGTGTTGTGTTTGAATGACTTCAAAGAAATGCCATCACCAACGTTAGCAACCTCTGTCGTTTTGATTGCTCTGACTTGTTTGTGTCAAGAAGGTGCAGGAGTCTAGTTTAAGCTAAAAACTGGCTCCATAATGTTGATTGATGCTCGCTGGGTTCCAGATAATTGACTATGAGTTGCCTTAGGCTTAGAGGTGTAGATTTAAAACCCCATCTTTGTGTATAACTGTATGTCAATTGTGATAAATGTATTCAATGTCTTAAACACATACTGGTTCAGCTCCATTTAAATCTACTTTACAAAATAATAAATTGACTAAGAAGCCAACAAATATATTGCTGCTGGCATCTGCTGCCATTTGGCGAATACGCCTAGTTTATGGTGAGGCCATCTCAAGCTGTGTCGAACACACAAACACAGACAACACATTTTGTATGTGCATAGATAATTCAGACAGGGATGGTATCTTATTCTGCCGCCATCTGTGCAAGCCAAAACAAATAGTATAAAAAAAAAAGTGTTTCTGATCACAATGATATGAATCAGAGTCTGGAGAGGCTTCATGGGAACTTACAAGCAGGCCCAGAGAGGCAAAGACAAAAGAGAAGAAACAGAGAGATAAAAGAGCTGTGACCATCCGCTCTATTCCCGCTGGCCTATCTCCTCCATCAACTTGGCAGTGCCAAGGAAATACAGTTCATTATCATTGATCACACCAGACTCCACTCTCACACAGACACACTAAAGAAGTTACACATGCTTAACCAGGCACGCGCCAAAGGAAATACCCTAAACAGATGTCTGTAGCATCTGTAACTGATAAAATTGAAATAGTAAGCTCTTGCCAAGATCAGCTTTCATATTTCACTAGTTACCAGATTTTGATATATGACCTCTCAAGCAAACTAGCAAGACAGAACAGGATTATACAGTAGCAGTAGCTCTCACACCCAGGTCTGCTGGCCCGATAGCATCAAATGTTTTATTGCCACGCAAATTCCCCCAGCTGCAGTAATTATTCTTAATTACAGCGGTGTGGTGCATTAATATCAAAGCTATGGGTCCTTGTGCATGTGTGTGTCAGTGTCTGTCACACGTAGATTGGTTAGGTGGGAGAGACAGTTTGTTGATAGACATCCCGCATCTCTGAGCTCATAAATATTCAACAGGAAATTTGAATGTTAGCGCTTCCATAAAGCAAATAAGTTAGCAGTGTGAGCGGGGGGGGGGGGCACACAGCCTAATTCCTTTGTAATGTGTGGGAGATGGCGTGATGCCTGCCAAGGGATGATGTCACACAAAGTACGCTCCTCAGGATGAGGCTCTCTGCTTCTCCGCTAAAACTTTCTTGGAAGCACTTTGGTTGAACCCCTACTACTTCTCTGAAGCCTTCAGTACAAAGTTAGTATATTCTCTAGCTATGCCATCAAAAGAGTAGAGGAAAAGTGGGCAGTGTGATGCAAGATTTAACACACATGCACACGCACACGCACTTAGCGCTTGTGGTGAGCCTCACTGTAGTTTTTAAGGGTGAAGATGAGGTAAAACTTGCAGATCTCTGCTGTCCCTGTGGATTACTTCACTGAAAGCACTTTGTCCTACATAGGCAAACATGAAGCCACTCGCTGTGACAACATGGGCAACTTTTTCTTCTCCTTGCTTGTGATCAAGTAAAACCCCTTCCAGCTCTTTCCTTCATTTCTCTCATCTCGTCAGGAGCCCACAGCGCTGCACTTCCTCCTTGTATGAAAGGCTGTAATCTTTCCCCTACACTAGACCTACTAACCCATAACTCACAGTTCAGAATGCGCAGCTGTGTCTGTGGGTGTGTCTGAGTGTGAAGAGGGGTGCATGAAATACTGCCTGTGTCTCGTTGAGGTTCCATCAGTCAGTGCTGCCAGCGCAGTTATGGTCAGGCAGCTTCAGGGTCAACGTTCAGTTGTGAGGTCATTACCCTTGTTCAGTGCGATAATGTGTGCGTCTACGTGCGCGTGTCTGCCCTTTCCCGGGAAAACCACCATGACCAACGAAGAGGCCTCCTTCATCAATCACCAACTGTTCGCGGAGCTGCATTAACCGTCACCTCCATTCAGAACAACATCCCACCTCATGGCCAGTCGCTGACATTCACAACATGCCTGGTCCGGGTCCCACTTCTGACCAATCGAAACGCTTCCACGCCAGGTCGGCTTTAGGTCAACGCCTCAAGCGGCCAACCCATTGAGACAAAAACGAGTTTGCCTGTTTCTCAGAGTACAAACAAATCATTAGACAGACAGGGCTTCCTGCCAACGCTTGCCATTCTCTGGGGCTGATCAGGGTTCTGACAACGATCCAGCCCTACTGTCTGGAATAGTTAGGCTGCAGAGGGAAGAGGGAACAGAGGCGTTCCGATCAATACAGGCTCATTATCTGTTGCCTTCTGTCCCAGAGAGATGAGTCCCACCGCTCGGCCTGTTGATGAGGAAAGCGCACCACAATTCAATTAGGGGATGGCCGAGATGCCAAAAGAGGTTTGATCAAAGCACTCTGCCCAGCTAATTAGCACACACAGCGCTTCGCAAAGGGCTATTTTTACATCTGAGGAGCAGAGTATGTTGTTTTGTTAATGGTAGTTTTACCCTGTAATGGACTGGGAATAACCTGGCTCATTGTCAATGCATAGGTTTCAGCCAGGGGAGAGTGGGGGCCCCTTGTGCTGCTCCACACACATGGGCACATGTATATTCATGTGAACACACACACGCCTAACATGACCTTTTGAAAAGGTCATGCATGGTTTAATGTAACCCCTCTTACCAGGTTAAACTCATCAGAAGTGTGCAGTTGCAAAGTGTGTGTTTCTGCAGACAGGAAGTGGCAGGTCATCCAGAAATAGTGCCAGGGGAAAATAAAGCTGTTTCCAGGAGTCTTCGGGGACTTTTCAGGCAGCCCGCTGACAGCTTTATAAACCTCTTAACAAATGGTCGACCTCCTTCTCTCTAATGAGGAAAAAAGGTCCGAAGTCTGGGAAGGGAAAGCAGGCGTGTCCCTCAAGGTGGGTTAACAGCCCTCTCTGTCTGTCTGTGTTTGTGTGTGTGTGAGAGCGTTTGTGTGTGTGTGTCATCAAAGAACGAGACATGACATTTTACTAAAGGGAGCTATGCTGACACTATTGTCACCTAAGCCATACACACATAAGAAGACTCTTTATCTTTGTCCAAGTTCCCTATTGTTTCACTATCTAATAACTTTCCAGAGCAGAAACTTGACAGATACACTGGTGTTACCCACAAATAAACACCAGCCCTCTACTAAATCTTAAGATGAAGTGGGGAGAGGGCAGTGGGAGGCTGATGGTGGTAGGAAGTCATTCATATGACAGCAAGAAAGAGCAAGCAAACGCTTGCCTTAATCTTTTTCCTCTGAAAACGCAATTAAACTCAGCTTCAGTGGTTCATTTCAAATCTAGATCAACAGCCTTTTATATCTATGTGTGTAACTCGAGACGGGTTGTACCTACCCAAGCATTAGCCAGAACACAAACCTGTAACTCTGAGGGAGAACTCTGAAGGGGTCTTGAGATATTAGCTTGAGGGGGTACAAACATTGTTATTACTTAGATGTTTGAAACCCTGGTTTCTTTTCCAACACAGGTATACTAACCGCCGCTTCCCATCATATGCTTTTCTTTTGTCATGTGTTCCACTTTTGTTTGTTTCTGGATTCCCTCATGCAGAATGAAATGTAGCATATCAGAACTTTCCCACTTGACTCTTTGGCTGGAGAAGATTTTATTGTTCCCTTAGCTGTTAAAAGTGACATCTACCCGGGCGCTTACGGTGAGAGCAACCTCAGTTTTTAATAACACCATAAATAACATTGTCACACCCTGTCAAGTAAAACTCTACTCAGGGATTGTGGCAAAAGGCAAGCTGGCCCGTGAGTCAATGGGAAGCATCATCTGAGACTGCAAAGCTACCATCAGGAAAATGTCACAGCCCCACACTTCACTGATCAGAAACTGAAAGGCTCCAACAAGCCATAAGTCTCTGCATCAATTGTGTTTTGTGGATCAACATTTCCCCAGTTGGTTTGTGTTCTTGACAGACAAAGCCCTAAAATCTTAAGATCAGAGAAGAAATGTATTTAACAGCAGACGAGATGTTTCATATTGCATGGCAGCAGCAACTCTGGATATTAATCTGAAATACCGACATGGGTTTTGAAGAAATAGCTGATGCCTCACACAGAACAACATGATGGTGACTTCAGGTAACATAGTATATTCTGGGCCACCATTAGGATATTCAGAAGAGCAAATCCATATATTTGATTATGCACTTTCATCATGCATCACACAGCATAGTTATCCCAAAACTGTCCATCAATGGGCTAACACTTGAGGCTGTTTCTGGTAATTCCTAACACCAACAGCACCATATGTTTTCTGTCACAACAGGGACTTTCCTCATGGATCAGGTAAAGAAATAAACAAATTACTAAGAATGGGCACAAAATCTATCAATCCAGGGTAGTGATTTCCACTTAAACACGATTTCAGCAAATATCAACACAAGCAAGGGGGAAGAAAGAAGACACAAACATGGAGACTCTATGTAGTCTTACAGTATAACGTTAGTGAGTTATGAGCCATATAGCTTTAGCTTATAACAGCTAACTTTTAGGATGTAACTGATATTTCTGTAACGTGATCAGTTTCCCACACGGGATAATGCTCAGCCTTCCACAGAACATGGACTTCTGTTAAAACAAGCCATTCAAAAAAAGACTACGGTAACACTGAAACCATTTCCAAGCACAAACTTGTAAAACAAGTAGCCCAGAGAAGTATGTGTCAACTCACCAACTGTAAAGTGCAAATAAAGATGAGGGTGCATCGCCCGCTGCAGCAGCCCATTGTGTCAGCGGTGAAAACGTGACTCTAAGCCGGGAGAAACGGACTTGGAAACGGGTCGGAGGAGCTCTCAATGTGCTGACCAAACTCAGTGCTGATCCAAGCACCGGCTTGTCATTCTCCTTTTCTGCTCCGGTGTCTCTTTGATGAGCCAGAAGAGGAAAAAACGCGACGGGATCGACCTGGCTGGTCTGTTTGTTTGCCTCCGTTCCAGCCGGCCGGTCGGACTTGAGGTGACTGGCTGGGTGGGTGGTTGCGAGCCGGTGTGTAAAAGGAGGAGGAGGGGAGTGGGATGAAGTGAGGAGGAGGAGGTGGTGGTGGTGGGGCAGTCCACCGGGCGCTGGGATGTGGCTGACTGGGGGGCGTGAAGTGGTTTCTGGAAGCTGTCTGTGGTGTGGAGGCGAGAAAGTGCGCGCTTGTTAATTCAAAATGTTTTAACAGAGGCGATATATTGCCATGGTGACCAAATACATTTCTGCTAAGTCAGTTAAGATGCTAAATAGCAATTGGAAGTAAGCTACAGATAACGTGATAAAGTGACAATTTCGGCCATTTATTAGAGGGGAAGCGTTAAAAATCCATATTGGTGTTTGCTAACAAGTAAATGTCAGCGTCTCATGTTGAGATATGAGCGTGTGTTGAGGAGGAGCGCCAGTTCTCCATCAGCTGATGGAGAACTGGCGCCATCTTGTGAGCACGTGAAGAGACGCACTCTAACAAGTTTCCAAAATAAAAGCCCTTCAAAATGGAAGCCACATTTTTCAGTTATGTGATGTTCCAAATTTTGAGACAGACGTCTCTTCTCAAAATTTAACAAGACGCCGTTTGAAAGTTTCTACAATAATAATTAAAGCAATTAAAATTATTTTACATTACCCAATGATGGCACTTTTTTTTTTTTATCTCAGTGACTTTTCAACTTTTCAAATGTATTACTATTTTATGTCCAGTTTCTTTGCAGGTTAGCCTACAATTTCCACTCTTCCACTTTCAATCAAATTTGCCCCACCCCCCTTTTCCAAATCCCTCCTGCCCTGCCGCCCTTTCTCAGCATAGACCTTTTGTTTGGATCTCCGTTTGCCTTCTGGGTAGCCTCTGCTCGGTATTATTTATAATAGAAAAGATCTTAAAAGCAACTCTCTCAGTCACTCTCTCTCTCTCTCTAGTGCATGGAGGCAGGTCCCACCTCTCTCCTCACCAGCTTGATGAATCTTTTACGCGCCTGCGGGCTGAGTGAGGGAACACTTCACATCTCATTTCATCACACACTCCTCCGCTCTGCTCCTTTAAAGTACCGCTCCTTCTCCTCTCTCTTCCCCCGCCGTCCCACGCCGCCCTGCCCACCTGCGTCCAGCCGGGCCCGGGAGGAGCTCCACCCCCCTACCCGTCGCCAAAAATAACCTCGGGGTATTTATGGAACCGACACGAATTGGGATTTTCCCCCACTCTTTGGTTTTGAAATAAAAAAGAGACTGTTCTTTCATCATGACAGCTCAAAACCTGAAGAAAAAAAAAAAACAAGAATCGTGATCAATTTGAAGTAGCTTGAGCATCACCCACCACCTGCATCTGTTTTCTCTAAGTTTAAGTCTATTGATGATTTATAGTACATTTATTCCAGTTATATCTGTCTCAGATACGCATTATTAGGCACATTTACTTTATTGTGTTATGTAATATGTGTCTTGTTCAGGCTCCAAGCCGGTCTGTGACTGTGCATATGACTTTAAAAACGTTTACCTTTTGAAGACTGGTATATCTTTTGTTAATGGAAAGCTACAGACTATTAGTTTAGCCACGATTTATAACAATGTCGTCTGTGGGCTAGTCTTTTTGACGGTGATGGTGTCCACTTGCTAGGCCCTACCTATAAACAAACAGTGTTAAGAAAGGCCTTGTACTAGGCTAATGGATGTCAATTAACTTTTTTAAGGCTTGTTACAACAATGATGCTTGACTGTACCAGAGCGCCACATTGTCATGGCTGCAGTATGACACCAAATGGAAATATTGTAAATGTCTTGGTCATCATTCTACACACATTTCACACCAAACACAGGATAGAATATTTGCTGTCTTTGGAAACACTTTAATCTTCTAATCTATTCACAACATAAAGATATGCGTGTTTAAAACACACTAGTGAGTCTAACATGTCATTTAATGTAGGAAAAACTTTCTGTGTGTGTAGTCAGTAGCATTAACCAATTTGTTGGTTAAGAATACATTAGTGAACGCATGAAGCTCACTCATTCACATCTGCAATTCTTATGAGAACATGTTTTCTGAATGTGTGCCATAAAAATATCTGTGTGTGTGTGCACATGTGCATGTGTGTTGGTGGGTGGGTGTTCGGGAGGGAGTGGGTGAGACTGAGGGAGGTGAGCCAAGGCTGAAATAAGGTCACTGTTATAGTTCTATTAGAAGCCTTGATAGAGGTTCTCCTTGTGTTCCCATTTTGCCGAACACCTCCTTATCGACTCACTCTCTCTCTGTGTGTGTGTGTGTGTGTGTGTGTGTGTGTGTCCAGAACACTTCTTTCATGGCAAGTGTGTCCAAGCCTTCAGGGGCTGCTGTTCTCCACAAAGACACTAATGTGGAGCGACAGGACAGCCAGTGGTGCGCTGCTCTGAGGGGACCTGCATTGTGGAGGAGACCCAAGAGTCTGGATCGTAGTGGACAACAATAGAAAAAATACCTCAAAAGGACAAGGCTTTTCCCTCTTTGAAAGCAACCAAGGCTGTCGCTTCTAGTTCTCGCTCCCTCTTTCTTTCGCTGTTTCTCTTTTTCCTTCTATATTTCTCTTGTCACACATTTTGGCGCTCAAACACCCCCACTGAAAATTCCTCATGCAGACGCACACTCAAGAGAAGTCTGCTTCACTATTACCTAACAGCCAATTCGTCATCTGTCAGGCTGACGGAGACATGAGAGTAAAATAGATTGCACCCTTTCTTACACTTACAGCAGCCTGAAAAGTTATTGTGATAAAATAGTAGTTTTCTTATACCACAGGGTTACCAAATATGCCATTATTCAGACTGTATGTCACCTGGGGAGCTGCTGTGGGTAAAAGAAACAACACTGAATATTTTGCATTGGTGCAACGCACACCTACTGTGGCAAATAATACATCATAGCCTAACCTTAAATCAGCACATCGAGCTACTCCTTACAGCTCTTAACACAAACTACCCTACATAGCTGCAAATTACCCACAAGCATATGAATGTTTTTTTCTTTTCATGAGCCCGTGCTCATGAAAATGTTAAGAATACTATGCATGTGTCCTTGGAGGCAGAGTCTCATCTGATTTTTCTTCACTAGTTGGCCATGAAGAAAGTTCCAGACTCAATGAAGAATAAATACAGAGGCTATTATGAGGAGCATGTACATAATTTATAATGGGATTATGCTTTGGTGAAGAAATACTGGTCCCCAGAATCATTTTTGAACACTGGATGTTATTCTAGTGCTGGCCGCTTGGAGGCAGTCATCAGAGAGGTCGGCTTTAATTGAATGGTTACCTTTACAGGTTCGTCAAGCCAGACACACGCTGGAAACATACAGGAAATTAGGTAGGTTTCCTTCAAAATAAAAGTACATCACTAGTTCGATGCTCCTTTCCAATGGATGTAAACCTTGTACAAATAGACTTTCTGTATTTTATCATTACAAAAGACTAACCTAAAAGCATACAGCCTATATATATACCGTATGAGTCACAATCAATGGTCTAGATGAAAAAAAGATCACTGAAAGCAGAGCAAGATGCTCTCTGAACCGGAAACTGGGGGCCCCATGTACACAAGGTCTGTTCGGGAGAAAAACACAACCTGTAAACTATGTAAAACAATGTTTTCATGACTGAAATCTTTAGAAAAAATGCACTTTATAATCAAACAAATTCTTCAAACAGTTGTGTGGCATATTCTTTATATCATATCCATACCTGTACATTGATGTTAGTTAGGCTATGGCTCCTGTACTGCCAATAGCTCAAGACTCCAAGCATAGATTGTGGGCAGGAGAGCTTGGTATGGTGTGGGCCTATTGCTGAGTTCCAGACTGCTCAGAACTAGAAAATGTCCGAGTTGAAATCTCCGACTTCCAACCTCAGAGTGTTCCAGGTGCATGGTGGTGCATGACTCTTTGTCAAGTGTACACCCAGTTGCACCCTGTGTCCTTGCTGTTAATTAAAATTATGGACGTTTTAATGAAAACAATGAATTGAAGTGGTAATCCTCTAAAGACAATAAATGTTGTAGATTAGCCTATACTTCCTGAATAACTTTTGGGTACAGAAGATGAATTTCAGAGATTGTTTATGGTAACCAGCTACCCAATAACATTGACAAAATATTTCTACATCAATTTACATGCAGAACAAGTTTTACTATTTGATACTAGTATGTGTTATTTTAATTTAATAGTTTACTTGCCTTTTAGTTTATGGTTTATGGTTGCTTGGAACACAGCATAATATGAGGCCATGCCACACACTCTAGTGACATAAAATGGGCCCGAAAATAGCTAATAGCCTATATTTGCACATTTCTCGAGCCTAATTGCCTGACAGGCTATGTGAAGAAGGTTGTTTGGAAAAATTAGGCTATGTAAGTCTTTGTAAATTTAGGCTATGAAATTTTAACAAGCTTCCATACTGAGCGATTTTAGATGGCATAAAGATTCAAATAAATCTATTGTGGCTAAACAAGTTGGCAAACAGCTAAGCTAACTTAAACATTTAACGGCAGCATAAACAGCGTACCTTTGGAGTTATTTTTCTCCGCAAAAGTTGAATATATGTCCAATTTTTACAGGTATTTTTACCCTGGTTTACTGTACAAAAACGTAACAGATAGCCTATGTCTGGTTCCTGTTGGCTGGCTTTCTTTGCTGGTGACTCACTACTTCATCTAAGTTAGCTATTTCATGGTGGATGGTAACATTAGCATACAATCACTTGCATTACTGAAAACACTGAAATGCACTGCAATGAAAATTGAAAACAATTTTTTAAAGAAGTATAGCCTAAATGCTGTAAAAATAACAATAACAATAATAAATCTCAATTGCATAAGGGTTTTTTACCCACTTCCTCATTTGCTACTATGGGTTGTTATATTTAAGTTTTAGCTTGCTAGCCGACTAACCCTTAATTATTATTATTTTTTTATTTAAAGACTTTTTGGCCAATCGTGAGTAATCTTGCCTTTTTGTTAATTTTTTATTTTGAAATCTTTTACCGGAAACCAATTCTGTTACTCTGTCTGTCTTGACGGTGGTTTCAGTCACATGGTGCTGCCTAACGGAGAGCTGATGGAGCCAGATGAGAAAGGCAGGAGGCGAGCCCCTCCGGTTGCGCGTCAGCATCCCCTCAAATAGGAATCCGCTGCTGTCACTTCTGCTCTACATATACAGAGACGGACGGCTGTAACCGTGAAACAACAATTAACGGCGAATTTCCTGTAGCGTGCAGCTGCTGTTTCTTGTGATGTCAAGGAGGAAGAGTAAGGTGAGGCTGTGAGGAGGCTAGAGCTTTGCGAAGAATGATAGTGGGGATCAAGGCGCGCTGTCCCAGGAGAACTCATCTGAAGAGCTGGCCCTGAGAGACCGGGATGCTCCTCTAACGCACCGGGGGGCGAGTGAGTACAATACATTCGACCACTTGTCTCTTTCATTTTGGTTCCACTTTGGTGACATCTGGACAGCGTTGGACCGCTCAGCGTGCCTGCTCCTCTTTATAGCATCTGAATTATTCCCTACCCTATCCCACCTGTCTGATCAATCATTTATAGGCTTCTTAGTAAAGTGCAGCACAACCGGTCGGTCAGCGATGTGTGAAAGTTGACTTGCTAATTTGGAAATGGTGCACTTTCCCCCTAAACACGCCCGTTAACTTAATGCGTGCGCATCGAGGTTTAACATCATGCAGTGCACTACAGTGGGTGATTTGGAGGTCGATCGTGTCCCTTTAAAGTTCTGATTAGAGTGAACATGTGTTGCACACTGCGGCCACAGTGTCGGTGCAAGGCTAATTAATAAAGTCTTTGTGAGGGGCTCCCCTATCACATGCACTCATCATTAATCCGCTGATGGCCCGGAGGGCGTGGGTTGCTGTACGTGATGATAAGAAAAAAGGCACCAGTCCTACTTAGACAGTGGGTTGATTAATTATGGACTCAGTACTGATGAACTCTGAGACTGTTAGATGCACAACAGGAGACACAGACAGAAACATGGCTTTTAATATCAATTTAATGTTTAATTTTCACCATTGATTGGTGACATGATTTTTTAAATACAAGTTCTGATAGTTAAGATACACAATTGGTCTACCTTGAAATGATGTAACTGTTGGAAAGCAGTATCAATCCTTGCCACAACTATACATCTAAAATCAGTCTGTAATGATGTCCTTACCTGTAATAAGGTGTGGAGTGAAATGCCTGCTGTACTGCTGAATGTGTGGGTGTGAGTAGAACTTCTACAGCAGGCTCAGTGCATGTAGATGAATGAAATCCATTTACTATGCAGCAAGGGTTCCCATCTCCTGTGTGTGTGTGTGTGTGTCTGTGTGCACGCCTGTGTGTGTGTATCTCACCTCATTACACTCATTGTGTTGACTTAAGCAGGAGGGTCACCCCTGAGGCCCGTTCTCCTGCCTTATTGAGGAGTGATGCCCTGAATTACACCACACTCGTGCTGATTGCAGAAGTAATGGAGCACACTGGGAGACGCATTTCAGCTTATACGTGAGAGGTTCACGGCCGCTGTTTTGACTGAAACATCAAGTGTGAATGGGATGTATATATTTCATGGCTGGCACAGATAAGTCAGTGCATTACACAATCACCCATATGAAGCTGTCCCCCACCCTCACTCGCTACAAGTGCATTTTGTTGAGAGGTGCTTAACTCGTGGATCTCGTGTATTTCAAATTTGTGATGGAGCTCCAGCTCTGGTTTGAATTCCGGGCACTTATGTTCACAGCCTGCCCACGCGCACTTTGTACAGGAGCCTCTATTCTTGGTTGTTTTACAAACTGGCAAAAAACCCTCCCTCCCTGCCTTACAGCCTGTGTACTGCATTTCTCCTGAGGCGTTCTCAATATTCTCCCTGTGTATGTATTAAACATCAAGCATGTCGAACTGCAGGCGCGGGCCGAGCACTTTAAGGCAGACTCAGCCTTCTTTGGAGGGTGACAGAACAGTCAGATGGCCCCCACAGGGCAGAGAACAATTCCTGCTGCTGATGCACCCAAGGCGACAGGACTGGGGCGCTCCTTCCTACTCCCTCCACTCCCTCCCCCTCTCATCCACCCTCCATCCCTTCCCTCCGTCATCACATAGAAGTAAACACACTGTCTCGGGTTCACTTGCACACCTGCGCCGCTCTATCCCTTTCTCCCCATACACATCCAATCTCTCTTTCATAACCACAGATGCAGACTTGTGACTAAAGAGTAATATTTATGAGTGGCTGTTTAGGTTATAAATCATACCTGCTCTCACACACTAGCATACTTTCTTACAGCCACAGTCATGGTGTCTTGTGCTCACTATCTCCGACACACATACACTTTATTGTTATTTGGCACACCTGTGAAAGTCAGACGGCTTCCAATACAAGTGTTCCGCTGTAAAGTCGACTTTTATGATGCCTGTAATGTTCAGGGTTTTTCTGACACCGTCAGAGAGGTGTCAGATAAATTATTTAATTTGTCACCATTCAATTTGTGGTTAAAGGTAGAGTTGTATTGGTGTTTCTAATATTCTGCCCCTTCATGTGTGTAAACAGGGAGCACAAATGATTATAAACACCCCTCAGCTCAATATAATGTAGTCGAATACAACACCACCTTTCACTGTGTCTTCAGTAATATACATATGATGTAATTCACATATTTCCAACAATGTCAACAAAAACTTATGAAAACTGTTAAACTTATGGCAGAGCTGTTGTAATAAATTGAATAGATTGCACAGGTGTACCTGCGTGACAAAGTGGCCACTGAGTGTAAATAGCTTATCCTCTCTCATACACACCATCACGATGTCCTATACACAAGGCTATTAGAGCTACACTCTAAAAGTCATTTTGTGCTCTAAACAGTTTTAGAGGCGGTGCTATTGCATGCACAATGAATGGAAAGATGCAAGCAGAAGTGAAAACACGTGAATTGTGATTCTACTTTATAAACATACATAAAGAAAAAGGGGAGAAACTGGAGGGAAATAGTTTCTGGTACGTTTCGAGATCAGTCCGATTCTGAGTTGTCACGCACAACACGCCTGCACGTAGACATACGTTGCTAGCTAGCTGTTAATGTACAGCCGCTGCACTTGCTGTTTTGCGGCGAGTAAACAAGGACTGCACAAATATTTGCGTGAAAAATGCAAGGCATACCATAAGACTGTACTGCAAGAGGATCGTATACTGCGTGTGATTGAGAATATTAGTGTGTTTAATACAGAATAGTGGTCAACCAATGGGGGTTTTTCAATGGCTGATGCCAATATTTAGAGAGCAGGGCGGCTGATGGCTGGTATCAAATGCAGATATCAAAACAAAGAATGTATATTTCCATTATTGCATGTAGAGTACAATCTTATATATAGTTATCTTAGCCAGTAACAAGTTGTTATAGATGGATTTTTTATTAATTAATGAAATAGCATACATTGGGTTATGCTGTAGATTTTGTAGATTCTCTAAACTGGTGTTAAAGGTAGAGCGGGGAATAGTATGTCAGAAGTGACATCACTGAACTGCATTATTCTTGCATGTTTTTCTTACGACAATATTTAACGCTAGCCAATCAGCCAATAATGGTGTTAGATTAGATTTAGTGTCATTTAGGAAGGGAAAAACATATTAATATTTAGAAATGACAATGGCGACTGAGGAAATTTAGGCAGCCCGCAGATGTGTCTGCAGACATTTTTTGTATATCGTCCTTGTATTTGCAGGTATCAGCCGCTGCTGAATATTTCAAAATGGTCGTTTAATCGGGCCGATATCTGGCATTAGCTGGTGATATTTATCTCTAATACAGAATGATAGTATACTGTCTCTAAGAGAAAATGACAGTATATGCTCCTTAGAATAGCTGTGTCCGAGAGAGAGTTTGATTGAAATGTAAATAGCATTGCACTTTTTAGCTCCTGGTTGTCTTACAGCCCTTAAAACCATGAAGTGGAGAAGGTAAGTAATCAGTCAAATCGTGGCACTTGAGACCTTGCTATTGTTTTAAGAAAATGTGCACAACTTTAAATCATCCTTAGATGCTCTGTGGTTTGATTTAAATTCTCCTTGAAGCCTAAACATTGCTAGAAATGCCACTTAATAGGTGCAGGCCTTTTCAAGAAGGCTGTGTGCCAATCAGAAACTGAGAAGCCGCACTCCTTTTCAGTAAACCTACCTTCCATTTCAGATAAACTCCCTCTTGAACACGTCATCCTTTCTCACACATATGAACTTAAGTCAGACATATTTTCACTCACTCACACAAACTATCATACTGTCCTATAAACTATGTAATTCTTTCTTATACACAATACTGTTCTATCTCCTATGCATCATATAGTGAGAGTGTGCGATGGTGTGTCTGTGAGTGAGAATTATAGTGTTTATGAGGGAGAACAGAGGGCACAGCGGCCCACAGTTATTTAGGGTTTTGAAAATGTCAGTCATTGTCTGTGGCCTTTCGTCGTTCATCAAAGGTGCAAAAGTGTGATGTGAGCTTTGCAGATCACAGAGTAAATGGTCCGTGAATCCTCAATGTGTGCATGCGTGCGTGTGTGTGTGTTTGTGCATGTCAGCTGTGTGCATAATAGCTCAGGGATCAGGGGCCGTAGATTGGCCAGTTAGCCAGACAGATGTGCCCTAGCCTGGACTTGGACTTGCGGGGCCTCAAACTGGCCGGCCACCCAGCATTAGTGCCATAGATCCGTGACCAAAGAGCTCAGGGCACCAAAACTCACTGCCTGCATAAAATGCTCTCAATTATTAATGCTGTGCACGGGGCAATAAGAGGCGTTGCAGAGGCCAAGGGAGGAAACAAGGATTCGAGCACTGAAGAAAGAAAGAGTGAGAATGAGTCAACAAGGGATGACAAGCAGAATAAATGAATTCAATGAATACGTTTCTTTTTTTACTTCTGTGCTGTCAGTGGCCAACTGAACAGTACAGCATATTGGCAGTACCCTCAGTTACTCTCCTCTAGTTAAACATGAAAAGAAAAAGGACACTGACCAGTTACACCGATGTCTTTTTCACACCACAGTACATTGCATCTCAAAATTCAAACCCTGTTTTTTCACGCATTTTTCAATCCAATTCAATTCAGAATCCTACTAATTGATTAACTGTTAAGTGCATGGGTAGCTTTGGATCTGTCATCTCAGGGTAGGTACAGCATTGCAGTAGCTCGCCATTAGAGTAGGAGCTCTGTAATTCATAAGTATTGATTCATGTCTCAGTAGCACTACAGCATAATGTCCCCGATCAGGACTACTGTATACAAGAGCAAACGCGATAAGTAAAGCTGCAAAGAAAAAGCAGTGATTTACATATGCTGTCAACTCCCCATTATGTCTAATGTGATAACCATCAAAATACAGAAATGCAAAATAATATGCTT